CCATGGAAACTCATGAAGTGTTCCATACATACATATGAAGCATGTATAAGATGTCTTGCTGAAGTATTAGGAATGAAGTATCACTACATCTCTGACTTTTAAAAGGTCCAGAACAAAGTCATAGATAAATCCAGAATATATGTGGTAAACCGTTAATCATTGGTAAACAGGACAAACATTTGGTATCCCTTGCTTGCTTTATTCTTGCAACTTTCCTGTAGGTTTAACAATTTTCTTTCTTTTTTTTTTTTTTTGAGTCAGATTCTCACCCTGTTTGCTCAGGTTGGAGTGCAGTGGCATGCTCATGGTCATCGCAGCCTCAACCACTTGGGCTCAGGCAATCCTTCGGCCTCAGCCTTCCAAGTAGCTGAAACTACAGATGTATGTCACCACGCCCTGCTAATTTTTTTATTTATTGTAGAGATGAGGTCTCACCAAGTTGCCCAGGCTGGTCTCGAACCCCTGGACTCAGGCAATCCTCTCACCTCAGCCTCCTAAAGTGCTGGGATTACAGGCTTAAGCCACTACACCAGGCAAAAAAAAAAAAGCTGGCCTCACCTTAGATCAGATCTAGTGAATCTGGGTGAGAGGGCAGAGTCCATAGTAGTTGCATTCCAAATAAACCTTCCCGTTTATTTTTTATTTTTATTTTGTTTTGAGTATGGGTCTCATTGTGTCACCCACGCTGGAGTGCCGTGGCACACTAATGGCTCACCATGGCATTGACCTCCTGGGCTCAGGTGACCCTTCTGCCTCAGCCTTCTGAGTAGTTGGGACCACAGGAGCGAGCCTCTATGTCTGGGTAATTTTCTTTCTATTTTTATAGAGATGATGTCTCACTCTGTTGCCAAGGCTAGTTTCAAACTCCTGGACTCAAGCAATCCTCTCGCCTTGGCCTCCCAAAGTGTTGGGATTTCAGGTGTGAGACATTGTGCCTGGCCCCATGGATTTTTATGCATGACACAGTTTTAGATCTCTTGATTTGAAGTACAGCAATGTACTTTTACTTTTTAGTCTTTCTCAGTAAGAGTAAAAAAAAAAACCCTTCCATATCCTGGTTATGCAATAGAGCTTAACAACCTTGGATAAACGGATTCAAGTCTAGTCCTTACAGAGTTCAACAGTCCTGCCATAGTCCCCCTCAGTTTTCTCCATTTTCTTCAACTTTATTAATATTTTAGGCTGGGTGTGGTTGCTCATGCCTATAATCCCAGTTCTCTGAGAGGCGGAAGTGAGAGGACTGCCTGAGCCCAAGGGTTCGAGACTACCCTGGGCAACTTAGTGAGACCTCATCTCTACAATAAATTTTAAAAAATTAGCCAGGTATGGTGGCGCACACCTGTCATTCCAGCTACTTGGACAGCTGAGGCAGAAGGATCATCTGAGCCCAGCAGGTTGAGGCTTGTGGTGGCCATGAGTGTGCCACTGTACTCCAGCCTGGGTGATGGAGTGGGACTCCAACTAAAAAAAAAAACTTTATCATGCAAATGGTTTTACAAGTTATAGTGAAAAATGTGGCAGTGAGTGCCACCCCCCCTGACTTGCTTCGGGGCATACTTCCTCCATGCCAGCAGAATCTAGCCTCTCATTTCCTCTAGCAACTGAATAATAAAAAATAAGTGAGTAGCATCACAATCCCTATCTAGCTCCAGGCAGTTCTTTTCTAATACTGAAATTACAGATGTAAGGACAGTCTGTATTATATTGTGTGCTTACTAAATAATGAATAGCATTAATAAGTAATGATTAGATCCAAAATACATACCTTAACAAATGTTTATGAATCACTAGATTATCAAGACATGCTTTAAATGTGTAGCTATCACTTCAAATCAACTGAATGATTTAAAATAATGTAAGGCTGGGTGTGATGGCTAACACCCATAATCCCAGCACTTTGGGAGTCTGAGGTGGGCAGATTGCTTGCACCTAGGAGTTTGAGACCAGCCTGGGCAACATAGTAAGGCCTTGTCTCTACAAAAGATAAAAAAAATTAGTTGGGTGTGGTGGCACATGCAGGAAGTCCCAGCTACTCGGGATGCTGAGACTGAAGGATTACCTGAGCCCATGAGGTCGAGGCTGCCGTAAGCCATGATCATTGTGATCATGCCCCGGCACTCCAGCCTGGGCAGCAGAGTGAGACCTCAACTCAAAAAAAAAAAAAAAAAATACTGTAAGAACCTCAAGATGACACAAACATGCCCCCTAAATGATAATACATATTACTTTCTATCACTACCAACATAAAGCATTGTGGTTTTTTTTTTTGAGATGGAGTCTGTCACCCAGGCTGGAGTGCAGAGGCATGCTCATGGCCACCGCAGTCTCGACCTGCTGGGTTCAGGCAATCCTTCCTCCTCAGCCTTCCAAGTAGCTGGAACTACAGGCATGCACCACCATGCCCGGCTGACTTTTTATTTACGTAGAGATGAAGTCTTTCCATGTTGTCCAGGCAGGCCTCTGACCCCTGGGCTCAGGCAATCCTCTCACCTCATCCTCCCAAAGTGCTGGAATTAAAGACCTGAGCTACTGTGCCTGGCTCATAAAGCATACTTTTAAGGTTTTGTTATTGTTTTTCCATGTAGAACAGACACACTTTTCTATTCCATGCTTCCTCTGGTTGCCAGATAGGTTTAGAATTGTCAGCTGAGGCTCACTGAAAAGCAAAACTGAACTACAGTAGTTGGCTCACATAGTGAAAGATCTGATTTTCAGCATCCTTTGCAGTATAAATGGTCTTACACACCCCAGGTTGGCAAACAAGCATTTATAGTCGATTTCGAGAAGGCAAATTTCAGATTCCAGGTAAGTAAAAACACTTGAATTTAAGAGCATGCTCTATGCTGATATGCAAAATATTTCTAAAGTATGTTTTTATCTTTAATTCATTTATTACTTATTAATGTTATTTTTTAGTCAGCACACACACATATAAGCAGCTGCATTTATTAGAAATATAAGGTTACAGACAGTGTGGTTCTGAATTTTTTTTTTTTTTTTAGTTGGAGTCTCACTCTGTCACCCAGACTGGAGTGGCAGTGGCCGCTCCCGGCCACTGCAGCCTTGACCTGCTGGGCTCCGGCGATCCTTCCACCTCAGCCTTCCAAGGAGCTGGAACTATAAGTGCGTGCTACCATGCCCGGCTAATTTTTGATTTATCGTGGAGATGAGATCTTGCCAAATTGCCCAGGCAGGTCTCAAGCCGGCAGGCTCAGGCAATTAACTCACCTCGGCCTCCCAAAGCGCTGGGATTACAGGCTGAGCCACTGAGCCCAGCCGTGGCTCTGAATTTTTACTCTATTTGAACCTTCTTTTTTTTTTTTTTTTTTCCTTTTTGAGTTGGAGTCCCACTCCGTCGCCCAGTCTGGAGTGCAGTGGCCGCTCCCGGCCACCGCAGCCTCGACCTGCTGGGCTCCGGTGATCCTTCTGCCTCAGGCTTCCAAGTAGCTGGAACTACAGGTGTGTGCTACCACGCCTGGCTAATTTTTTGATTTATTGTAGAGATGAGGTCTTGTCAAGTTGTCCAGGCGGGTCTCGAACCCGCGGTCTCAGGCAATCCACTCGCCTCGGCCTCCCAAAGTGCTGGAATTACAGACTGAGCCACCAAGCCCAGCCATGAACCTTTCTTACTTTGAAACTTCCTCAGTACTAGTAAACCCTAAACCATAAGGTTTAGCCCCTGGTTATTTCCACTTAAAGAGAATGGAAAATTCTCCACAGCATCTAGTAGTAGTGCTAATCTTAAAAAAAAACCCCAAAACGTTAAACAATTAGGTGGTAATTGTTGATTGATTTCACCCTAAGATCAATTGTTTTCACCCTAACTCTCAAGTGAGACCACATGTTTGGTCACTTTTCTAATTCAGTATTTCTTCAGCATCTTAGATCCCAGGATATTTTTAGGAGATTCTGGATGAGACAACAAGAGTCTCTGACAAACACAATTCTCAGATGTCTGGCATCACCTCAAATCTGAATTTGAATCAGAGGGATGGATGAGTCGCAGCATCTCTAGACTGAAGGCCAGGTTCACTTTGTCATCTTGGTATACTTAAATTATTTCACAGTTCCTGGCATCATAATAATTTTCAAATAAATAACCTTGTATTAAAAAAACAAGTATTTACAACCAAATGTCTTCTATAATATAGAAAATTAAGTTTTTCCAGTAACGAGACTTTAGGTTGTCCTTCTGAATTAATGAGAAAATGTTTCCCTGAGTAGGCGTGATGGTATCATGCACCATGGGTAAGAATGTATTTTTAAATTAAATGACTACATATGTTGTTTTTTGCTTCTATTAAGAGACCTGGGTTGGGGCTAGTTGAAAACCTCTGCAGCTTAAAGAATCATGTAGTTTATTTACACAACAAGGACTGTATTGCTCTGAATTTCAATAAGTCAACATTTCACTATATACAGGCTTTTAAAACTCAGGAAAAAAAAGAGCCAAAACCAATGTAGACTGAATCAAAACCTTTCTAGTCCCAAAGCGCCATAGGGCTGTATCTGCCGGAAGCATCCATTTACATTCGTACATTACAAGGAAATCATTGCTCCTTAGCATTTATCCATTTGCAAAAGTTTGTAATTTTACCACACCTGTTAGGTTAAAAGCAATAGTTTTTAAAAAGAGATCGAGAGAAGACTAGAAGCAACATGAGAATAGTTGGCTACTCCCGAGATATTTGCAAATGACATTACAGTTTTTTTTCTCGCGCTGCAAAATACACCGGTAAACCGGATTTTCTGAGACTTGCTGGGTGGCTGACATCTTCCCTGGCAGGAATCTTACACTTTCAAGGTCCCAGAGGATGTTAACCGAGTAGGCTAAACGCCAAGCGGCTCTTTATTGTCAAGTTAAACAGCGGTGGAGACAGGCGGAATAACCTCAGTCCCCTCCAGCGCAGACGTGGACGCCCTTGCCTCCAGCGCCCCAGCGTGGCGAGCCCGGCCCCAGTCGCCCGCGGGAAGCCGGGGCAGCCCAGCAAGCGGCGCGCCCGGGATTCACCTCCGGGTCCGGCGCCGGCTCCCCGGCCCGTCTCTGCATCCGGGACGCGGAAACCCCGTAGGAGCAGGGCGGGCGGGGACAGCGATGTCAGATCAATGCTGCAGCAATATTCTTCCGCCGCAAAGCAAAGAGTCCCAGCCCTCCCCCGCGGATCCTGGGATTTCCAGAGACCCTCTGAGATCGAAAAATTACCAAATTTGAGATTTTCCATCGACTCGCTTAGGATTTAATCTGAGGTAACCACCCCAGGACCACAATTTTGAGGTTGACCGAAGAGCGACGAGAAAATTCCTCCGCAAGAAACGGGTTCCGGCCGCGAGCCTATAAAAAGCGGGTGGCGCGGGGGGGCTGTCTTTTCAGTCGGGCGCTGAGTGGTTTTTCGGATCATGTCTGGTGGCTCCGCGGATTATAACAGGTAAGGCGGTGTTTGGGTGGTAATGTTGTGTGGTGAAGGTCGTGTTGCGCCAGCGGAGATTATAGTGGGAGTCATGGAGGCAAGAAACTCCAGATTCATGGGCGTTTCCTTGCGGTACAATACCTCTGTGTCCTTCGAGAAGCTTCCATGATGGGTAGGGCCCTGGATTGTGGGGAGACGGGACGAGGGTCCGGAAGCGAGGTGATTGGCGGGTGCGTTATATATCTCAAAGGCACTGAAATTTTGGGTTGTTTGCCCTCCCCGTGTGGAACCCGGCAGGCATTTAGCTAAAAACCATGGCGCAGTCCGCATTCGGCACGGTGGAACCGGGCCCGGAAGTTTTATTTTAGGCCATCAGAACGATTTGGGAGGGATCTTTAGTTTTAGCGAAGGGAGGTTGGGTGGCAGCGGCGCCTGTTCGACGCGGCGCGAAGGCGACGGGACGGGACCGACGATCGGGGTGCAGGCGAGCCGTTGGCATCGCCCTCGCAGCCCGCGTCAATCACCCGGCCTGCGCAGAGTCGGGGGCGGAGCTCAGCGCCGGGAGCTCTCGCGAGACGCTCCGCCGCCGGAACGGGACGCCCTGCGCTCCGGCCTGGGAGCCGCATTTTGGGCGTCCGCCTCCCTCAGCCATCCAGGGAGGTGCGCTGTGTGGTCTTGGCCCAGCGACGGTGTCCTTACCTCTTTAGAAAGTACTCGTGTAGGTGAGGGTAATGCGAAGAGGCCGCTTCTAAAGGGCCCTCCCTTTGAGGTGAAGTTAAGGTGGCTTGAGAGAGGGCCGTTGTCTAACTGCAGTATTCTTGTCAGCAGAGAACATGGCGGCCCAGAGGGAATGGACCCCGATGGTGTCATCGAGGTAAGAAGCGGGTGTGGATTATGAAGCTCTGGAAAAGTGGGTTTGTTCATCTCACTCACTCCTTTATTTTAAATTTTTTTTTAATTTGCAGAGCAACTGGAATGAGATTGTTGATAACTTTGATGATATGAATTTAAAGGAGTCTCTTCTTCGGGGCATCTATGCTTATGGTTTTGAGAAACCTTCAGCTATTCAGCAGAGAGCTATTATTCCTTGTATTAAAGGTAAAAGGAACACGTTGGCATTTTCCGAAAACAAATTTTGTTCTACGTAGACGTGGACCGTAAAAGGGAAAGTAACCTCTGGGGGACTAGCACCTATTTGTATTCCTAAAGTGAAATGATGGCAATCATCTTTCGGGACTGACCTGAAATGAGGAGAATACTCATTGCTGATCACTTGATTATTTGGGCATAATTCATGTTCCAAATGGAATACATGGTGTGAAGTAGAAGTGACGATTTGATGTGGGATCGGTAAATATGTATCCTACTTTTTTTAGGGTATGATGTGATTGCTCAAGCTCAGTCAGGTACTGGCAAGACAGCCACATTTGCTATTTCCATCCTGCAACAGTTGGAGATTGAGTTCAAGGAGACCCAAGCACTAGTATTGGCCCCCACCAGAGAACTGGCTCAACAGGTATTGATAGTGTAGTTCAAAAAAACTGCTTGCGTGTTGCATAGGTTTCAGGTTTCACAACTGTGAAGAATTTAAAACTTAGTATAAACTGGTTCTATCAGAGCCCTCCTTTCAATTGTCCATGCATGCAGGGAGTTTTTGTTAAACAGGAACTGGGTATGGTGCAGGTAGGGTCTGTAGGGTTGTGTATCAACAGATGGAGAGTCAGGAGCCTACTGTTCAGGGTGTACCAGATCCTTCCCGTTTTTTAAAGTTTGAAAGCAGTTGTGCAACATGAAAACTGCAGTGACATGTTACCATTTGACTGTCTCAGTAGTTTGTGATGCATCTGTTGCATGCTATGTTTTCAAAGCTCACTGCTACATTGGCTTTGAAGTAAACCTTCCTAATAAAGCTGCAGGCTTTATTAAGGTCAAGATTATGTAAGGAACAATACCCTGTGGGGAAAAATTGTAAACATTTTTGCCCTAGCTGTAGTTAAGAACTTATGTTTCACTATTTACACCTTCCTACACAGTGAAGAAGAATGTAGGAAATGTTAGTAGCGCTTTAATTGCCTAGCTGATTTGTGGGGCAACAACATCCCAAGTTTGATAAGACACAGGAAAGATATTAGGGGAATTCTATCTTGACGCAGTCTGCATTTTAAGCTTCAAAGTAGTTTTGTGCTGTGCATGCATAAAGCTGTTGGCAGACCAAATAACTTGACATTATGCTTTGGAAATTAGTCATAGTGCCTGTAATTCTGTAGGATAATAATTTAAGGCCTTTGGTTTTTTTAGATCCAAAAGGTAATTCTGGCACTTGGAGACTATATGGGAGCAACTTGTCATGCCTGCATTGGTGGAACAAATGTTCGAAATGAAATGCAAAAGTTACAGGCTGAAGCACCACATATTGTTGTTGGTACACCAGGGAGAGTGTTTGACATGTTAAATAGAAGATATCTTTGTAAGTATTGTCCTTAAGATTTTTTTGCTGTTAATTTTTTACCATTGTAGTTGAAAAGAAGTTAAGTAGTACGATTTTGTTTTTACTAGCTCCAAAATGGATCAAAATGTTTGTTTTGGATGAAGCAGATGAAATGTTGAGCCGAGGGTTTAAGGATCAAATCTATGAGATTTTCCAAAAACTGAATACAAGTATTCAGGTAAGCTTTATATTATTCTTTAAAAAGTGGGTGTTTGGTTTAATGCAGGTACTGTTAACATACGAAGTGTTTTATTGTCTTTTCCCCTGCTTAAAGTGTTTGATACATACTGTCTAACTTACTCTTTCATAAAAACATTTTCTTTGAGTATTACCATCAAAGTTATGCTATAACATAGTCATTCTCTTTTAAGGTTGTGTTGCTTTCTGCCACAATGCCAACTGATGTGTTGGAAGTTACCAAAAAATTTATGAGAGATCCAATTCGAATTCTGGTGAAAAAGGAAGAATTGACCCTTGAAGGAATCAAACAGTTTTACATTAATGTTGAAAGAGAGGTAATTTGTTTAGTTGTTAAACATAGAAGGTGCTTGCCAGATTTTTTTCCCCCTACCTTCTTGTATAAGCACTGTGCTAAAATTGCAGAAACTAAGACCATCTTGGTTTTTGTAATAATGCTAGCAGAGTACACACAAGAAGAAAAGTAACCGCACTAGATTGTAAAGACTGGGGTGGACCTCTTTCTTAATGTCCAGTGTCCTTTGTCTTAAGATTTAGTGCAATATTTTGCTAGACAGATTTAACAGAATGAATTTCTAACATATGAAAATTGAAACTAAATGGCTGTTAACTTACTTTGAAATACTGTAGGAATGGAAGTTGGATACACTTTGTGACCTGTACGAGACGCTGACCATTACGCAGGCTGTTATTTTTCTCAATACAAGGCGCAAGGTGGACTGGCTCACTGAGAAAATGCATGCCAGGGACTTCACAGTTTCTGCTCTGGTAAGTGTTCTAAAATGTCTGCATTTCTATTAAAGCAGGATTCAGACTACAATATAGCTGTTAAGTGCTGTGTTGTCGTTCCCCCTGCACAAAATAAAGTTGTTTCTTTACTATACCTGTTTGCTATATTCCTGTAGCAGCCAGGGACGCTTGGTCTCATACATGTTGATAAAATTAAATGTTGACCTGACTGGTGATTCTTGAATTAAGGTTTGTTAATTTGCAGCATGGTGACATGGATCAGAAAGAAAGAGATGTTATCATGAGAGAATTCCGATCAGGGTCAAGCCGTGTTCTGATCACTACTGACTTGTTGGTAAGTCAGTCTCTTACTGCCTTTTTTAATATACCAAAAGTTAATTTTTGGGGGCAAAGGTTTTTTTAATAACCTTTACCAACTTGGGCTATTGGGAGAATAAAGAGAAGACCACACTCCACAGTGGCCTATACCACTTAGTATAGTTCACTACTATTTTGTGGCCTACATTATTACATAGGTATCCAGATTGTTGAATTAGAATTTTTAACATATGGCATTGTTTCAGGCTCGTGGGATTGATGTGCAACAAGTATCTTTGGTCATAAACTACGATCTACCTACCAATCGTGAAAACTATATTCACAGGTGAGAAGACACATTTTAACTTTTTGTGAAATAAATTCATGTTTTTCAATTTGTATGAAAGGTAATATCTCAGGGAAAAGGTTCAGGAAAAAGAATAGTAGTTTAGAAAATGCAGTTAAAATCATACTTGGGAAGACTGCTCAGAAAAAAGTGGGAAAACTTGTAAAAATGTTGCAGAGATTGTGGACATACAGATCAGGTTGCTTTACATCTGTTGGTCTTAGCTTGTTTCAGCTTTATTTTTAGTGATGCTCCTGTGTCCATGTGCTTTTCCTTGGTGATTTTTCTATAGTTGGGATTTTCTTGGTGTCGCCTGGTAGCAATTTGAGTGATCCCTGGTTTAGTTATAGTGGCTTTATCCCTTAATAACTTGAATTGTACTTTGTTATATGATGTAAAAAAAGACTTTTTAAAAAATACAGGAGTCGATAGCGGCAGTTGATGGCGAGATGGCAATCAGAAACGGCGTTGACGTAATTTAGGACGTGGAATCATAAGCGAAACAGCACACTGTTTGAATAAAGAGCGAGTCGGTATTTATATTTGTTTTTCTTTTGTCATGATTATTTGATTATTTTAAGTTGTTCCAGCCAGGGCATTTTGTATTTTAGCATTTCTACTAGGGAGTATTTCTGTTAGGTGGTTTGTATTGTCTGGTTTCTATCAGGAAGGTAGGAAAGCTGTTTTGGAAGTGAACACGTTTGAGTAATTTGAGTTGTAACGTGTGAAACTGAGCAAAAAGCAGTGATAAGTTTGGGTTACCATACCAAGTATATGTTTTCCCACTGGAAAAAAGTTGTAAGTTTTAGAAAATAGTTAACCTTGCAGCATTTGTGTTTACAGTTCCAGAAGTGCGTCGAAATGGATTACATAACTTCTTTTTGTTTTATCCCTGGTGTTTACATCTGTCCCAGGCTGACACCTGCTCTTGGCTGGCCCACTTTGGTATGGGCTTTAATTTCGCTACCCCAAACACAATTACTGTCATCTGCTTTGTAATAATGCTCAAGACGCCTGATAAAATCTCATTTCGCAGCCAGACAAGCCTTGAATCCTTTTGGCACTAACTGCAAAGGAAGATTTTTTTCTCTAGATATTGATTAGCAGCTAGTGCTCCAATTAGAAGCACGAACTATAACCTTGATAAGTAAACAGCAGCTGATGGTTAACAAGTGGATCGTCATGTTCAGTAGTTCATAAATTGTGTGAAGTAACATTCTGATTGCTGATTTCTCTTTCTTACACAGAATTGGCAGAGGGGGTCGATTTGGGAGGAAAGGTGTGGCTATAAACTTTGTTACTGAAGAAGACAAGAGGATTCTTCGGGACATTGAGACTTTCTACAATACTACAGTGGAGGAAATGCCCATGAATGTGGCTGACCTTATTTAATTCCTGGGATGAGATAGTTTTGAATGCAGTGCTCGCTGTTGCTGAATAGGCGATCACAACGTGCATTGTGCTTCTTTCTTTGGGAATATTTGAATCTTGTCTCAATGCTCATAACGGATCAGAAATACAGATTTTGATAGCAAAGCGACATTAGTCGTGAGCTCTTGTGAGGAAAGTCATTGGCTTTATCCTCTTTAGAGTTAGACTGTTGGGGTGGGTATAAAAGATGGGGTCTGTAAAATCTTTCTTTCTTAGAAATTTATTTCCTAGTTATGTAGAAATGGTTGTATTAGATGTTCTCTATCATTTAATAATATACTTGTGGACTAAAAGATATAAGTGCTGTATAAAATCAGCCAATTATGTTAAACTAGCATACCTGCCTTTATTGTGTTGTCACTAGCCTGAATAGAAAGGCCTTTAAAATTGATTTTTTTTTTTTAAAGAAAGCATTTGAATGCATTTTGTTTGGTATTGTATATTTATTCAATAAAGTATTTAATTAGTGCTAAGTGTGAACTGGACCCTGTTGCTAAGCCCCAGCAAGCAATCATCCTAGGTAGGGTTAAATCCCCAGTAAAATTGCCATATTGCACATGTCTTAATGAAGTTTGAATGTTAAATAAATTGTATATTCACTTTAAGGATGTTTGGTTACTTTATTTACCATAAATAACCCCATATGTAAAAAAGACTACCACAACATTTTATTCACTAACAATTCTGTGTTAACTGCTGCATGATGGTTGCACAAAGGCTGATCAATTGAAGGTGTTCATCAGCACCATCCGCTAAGCATTTATCAACTTCCTACAAGAGAAGTTTTAAAAGGTTAGTAAATTTCCTTTAGGCTAAATAAACATTTTGCTGACATGTGCTACCTACTTACAGCAAGTTTTTCTGTAATAATGGACTTCTGTTTATCAGAAAGGTCATCATTTTCTACGATCACATCATGAAGTTGATTTACCAGTTGAGTTGCTGCATGACCCTCATCTATTAAATCCTAGAATACATAATAGAAAGAAAAATTGGGTATGGTCACTTCGTTTTCCTTCCCTGAAGTTAGTAAACTGACATTACCTTTACCACAGCTTCTAGTTTGTCAAAAGAGCCACTTTGACACGCAGCAAATACCCCATCAATTGTCTCGGCTGGTATTACCTAAAAGGGAATTGAAGATGTTCATATATTTGTATATTGCCTCTGCCAACTATTTCCCCCCCACCACCACCCTGTTTCCCACTGTAATGTATAGGCCCCAAGTGGAACATCAACAACTCTGGTTGATGGGTTTGAGTATTAAAAGTTCTCCCCACTTGTGAAGCCTACTCCTTTTATCTAACCGGAAATATCCCAGTGGCTACAAAAACTCCTGAGCAGTGTCCAAAGTCAAATTAAATGACCTCTGATTGGTTTTAAGTCCTCAATGTCCAGAAACTTGAGAGGACTAGTGATAAGGGTGGCAAATTAGTGATTCTGAGTAGTTTAGACATGGCAGTATCTAAGGATGGGTGTAGTACCCTAAGTTTAATAAATTTTTGTAAGTTGGACATGCTTTTTGTATGAGACTGGCAATGTTGTTTGCACGTACAAGAACAGGAATCTACTAATTTACTAATCTACTCAATTTAAATGCTACACACCATTTCCCTCATAAAGATATACAGTCATTTTCTTTCCTGAGATGTCTTATGCCTGGCAAGCTGAAGTAATACTGCTCCCCGAAGCACTTTTCTCCCAAGTTATTGTCTTTATACACTTTTTAGCATAGTTCTTGGCACATGCTAACCATTGAGTATATGCTTGGATTAAAAAATCCCTAAAAGATAACAGAATTTCAGAATATCTTCTTCTTACCCCAGCAATGTCTGTAATCACTTTCTCTATGATCTTTCCACCTGTTAATCGAGTAGCACTTTGAAGAAATGTAATGGCTTTTCTTAAATCTCCTTCTGACACTTTAACAAGATAAGCTATTCCCTGAAGAGAAAGAAAGTTGTTTTTACCCAACTATGGCCAATTTAGGCTTAAGACTTTAATTTTAAACAAGTTTTCCAATCCAGGCAACATGGCAAAACCTCATCCCTAAATAAATAATAAGAAGTATGTGGTGGTACCCACCTGTAGTCCACTTACTCAGGAGGCTGAGGTGGAAGGACTGCCTGAGTCTGTAGTGTTCTGTGATAATGCCATTGTATTCCAGCCTGGGTGACTTGAGACTCAGACTCAGTTAAAAAAAGGTTTTAATAAAAAAAAATGGAAAACCCTGTTTTAGAGTTAATAAGGAAAACTGGCTAGGCAGAGGGGCTAATGCTTATAATCCAGCACTTCAGGAGGCCAAGACAGGAAGATTGTTTGAGCCCAGGAGTTCAGGACCAGCCTGGGCAACACAAGACCTTGTCTCTACAAAAAAAAAAAAAAATTAGCTGGACACGGTGGCTACTTGGAAGGCTGAAGTGGAAAGATTGTCTGAGTCCAAGACATCAAGGCTGCAGTGAGTCAAGATAGTGCCACTGCACCTAGCCTGGGTGACAGAGACCCTGACCCAAAAAAACAAAACAACTCTTATTAACCAGAGATTCATGTTGCAGAATTTGCCAGTTATGTGAATGAAATCCACCTTAGATCTGGGTTTCTGAAATATTAATAGATAAATAGTTACAGAAAAGCTAAACCTTGAAATTCCTAGACATTCTAGCTGTTTCTCATTTAGCTTGAGTTTATCTGAAGACTCTAGCATCAGGATTGAAGCCACACATATTATTAAACTCTCTTTCAGGGCCTCTTCATATGCATTGATGAAGGGAATTAGTAATCATAAGAATTAGTAATTACCTCACTGCTAATTTTGACGTTTTCCTTCTCAGCAATGTCTAATAATCGCTGCTGTTGAATTTTATCTGACAGAGGCTTGAAGCGAAATTTTGAACATCTAGAGGTCAGGGGTTCAATTATTCTGTAGAAGATTGGAAAAAACAAGTCAGTGTCTAAAGAAATTTCCCAATAACTAATTTTTGCCAAGGACAAATCACGATTTGATAGATGAGAAGAAATTAATGCAGCCTTGAAAAATTTAATTTTTTTCTCTTTCTAACTAGGGTTATCAAAATAAGTCTGCCTAACATCAATCTGGGCAATACGTACCGACTAACATAGTTACAGATGAGACAAAATCGGGTAGTTTTAGACTCTTTTTCCATGGTGCGTCTTAAAGCTGCCTGAGCAGCTGAGGTCATAGAATCTGCTTCGTCCAAAATCACAATCTTAAAAGGAGGACATGGCTTCCCACTGATTCAGAGAAACACATGGGAGGTGAACATTACTATGTACATTGGTTTGGATGGCTTTGTTGAGATCGATACATCAAGCAATTAACCCATTTAACATGTACAATTCAGTGACTTTCAGGATATTCAGAGTTGTGTAGTCATCACCACAAACTAGTTTTAGAACATTTTCATCACCCCTAAAAGAAACTGCCTATTAGTAGTCACTCCTCCCATCTCTAGGCAATCATTAGTCTACTTTCTGTCCAAGAGATTCACCTATTCTGGACATTTCATATAAATGGAATCTTATCTCTGGGCTTTCCTGGCTGGCTTCTTTCACCTAGCATATTTTCTTTCTTTTTCTGAGTTGTGGTCTCACTCTGTTGCCCTGGAGTGCAGTGGCACACTCATGGCCACCCCAGCCTTGACCTGCTGGGCTCAGATGATCCTTCTGCCAAGAAGCCGGAACTACAGGCGCCTGCTACCATGCCCGGCTAATTTTTTGATTTATTGTAGAGGTAAGGTCTCACCATGTTGCCCAGGCTGGTCTTGAACTCATGGACTCAGGTAATTCTCTCGCCTCGGCCTCCCAAAGTGCTGGGATTATGGGCCTGAGCCACCGCACCCGGCCACCTAGCATATTTTCAAGGTTCATCTATGCACATTTGCTTCGTTTTTTATTGTCGAATAATATGGCAAACAGATATACCACATTTTATTCATCCATTAATCAGTTTCTATGTTTTAGCTATTAGGAATAATGCTGCCATGAACACTGTTGACATGTTTTTGAGCAGACATGTTTTCCAAGAGGCTGCATCATTTTATATTCCAAACACTTTCTTCATATCCTGCCAATACTTGTCTTCTATCTTTTTTATTTTAACCACTCTACTTTATATACCTCATTATGGTTTTGATTTTTATTTCCCTCATGGCTAATGATGCTGATAAGCATCTTTTCATGTGCTTATTGGTTATGTCCTTTGGAGAAATGTCTATTCAGATCCTTTGCCCATTTTTATTTTTTTTAATTTTTTTAATTTATTTATTTTTTTGAGTTGGAGTCTCACTCTGTCGCCCAGACTGGAGTGCAGTGGCCGCTTCCGGCCACCGCAGCCTCGACCTGCTGGGCTCTGGCGATCCTTCCACCTCAGCCTTCCCAGTAGCTGGAACCACAGGTGCACTACCACGTGCTAATTTTTTGATTTATTGTAGAGATGAGGTCTCACCAAGTTGCCCAGGTGGGTCTTAACTGGAATATTCTTGGTCTCCTGGAAAAGGGAAAAAGAAAAGTGGTTGTAATGTAATGCCCCTTAAGGCTAGAGTGACCAACTATCCCAGTTTGCCCACGACTGGGTTTTCTGGGACATGTCTTCAGTGCTAAAACCAGAACAGTCTCAGCAAACTGAGGTTGGTCATTCTACAATAAAGCTTCTGCTCAGAACGGCAAACAGCACTTTGCTCAAATTCCATTGGTCCAAGTCATATGACCAAGTTTGTCATCAATGGAGTGAGCATTATAATCCTCCAAGTGAGGGGCAGGGAGTATCTAATAATGTGATCTGCCACAAAAAGCAAGTAGAAAAACCTCACAG